TACTATTAATAAAATTCTAGATTGCAAGTATTCATTTTACTATTAAAAAAATTTATTTATAATTATTATATATTAATAATTATTATATATTACTAGTAATATATATTAATATATAATATTTAATAAATATATAAGAGAAAGTTAAAAGAATTCAAACAAATTATTTTTATTAAAATTTTTCTTGAACTAAAACTTAAATATCTTATCTAAAACTTAATTATTTTAATAATTTAGTATTTATTTTAATTTTACAAACTTGTAGAATTAAAATAAATACTAAATTATCAAAATTAATTAAGTTTTAGATGAAATATTTAAGTTTAAAGTTCAAGAAAAAATTTTAATAAAAACAATTTGCCTAAATTTTGTTGACTTCTTTCTATATATTAATTATTTTTAATTAATATATATTAATTAAATACTATATATAAAAATTTAAAGTTTAAATCTTGCTAATAGTAAAAATTTGAAAAATAATCTTTTTTAGCAACTTGTTTGGAATATCTGAAGTTTTAATCTTGTAATTCTAGTTGTATTAAGTTTAACTTTAGAAGTGTGTAATATTATACAAATAAATCTAAAAAATATATATTTTATAAGAAGCTCTGTTTAAAAATTTTAAGTAAAGAGATAATATGATCTTTAATAATATTATCTGTAAAAATCTTGATCTGAAGACAGAAACCTAAGGCAGGTAACTTGTATAGTCAAGAACTTTAGATAAAGAAGTTCATCAACTTGGCTACTAATTGAACTAGATATAAAGTTATATCATATGAAGCTAATTAGATTGGTAGTATAAAAGAACTTACAAAGATATACAAAGTACTAGTAAGGTTGTAAAGAAAAATATTGAAGTTGTATAAACTCTACAAAGGTATAACAGTTTATAGGTTACTCTGACTGCAATTGTTGGTCTTAGCTATAGCAATATCAGGTTAGTTAGAAATTAGATAATAAAAGGCTTTAATAAGTTTAGTACAAAGTCAATGTTTCTTTATATGAGTGAACTACTTTAAAAATCTAGTAATTATAGTATATTTGCTTTAGTAAAAACTAAAGCAAATAGTAGAGTAAGTAAGTAAATAGATATAAGAACCAGAATGTTTAAAAATAAAAAATACTATATTAAAATTATATATAAACTTAATAAGAAAAATTATTTATATTTAATTTTATAAAAAATTATATTAAGTAAACTAATATTAATTTATAAGAAAAGTTTGTAGAGCAGATCTTTTTAATTTTAATAATAGTAAAATTATTAAATTTAATTAAAAATTTAATAAGATATAACTTTTTAAAAATTAGGTATAAAAATTTATTAATTAAATTAGCTTATAGAGTTATATAAATTAATCAATCAAATTTGGTATTTTTGTATTATCTAGAAAAATTTAAGCCATTCTAAAAAAACTTTGTAATATATATAAATATATATATTTTAATATATAATAATAGTTTAAAATTTTATCATAATATATAAATTATTTTATATATATTTTATAAAATTTTAATAAAAATTAATTGTAATTTAAAAAAGTTTTATAAGTAGTATATTTCAATTTTTATAAAAATTTCAAAATACTATATAAAGCTATATAAAAATGATCTATATACCTTCTATCTTTAAATAAAAAACTCACAAATAGATTCTAAATATGGCAGTTAGTATAAAACCTTCAGATGAACTACTTAAATTAAGCAATAACTAAAGTTATACAAGTGGCTAGTTATATATTCTTCCTATAATTGCCTCTTGTAGCTATTGTAATACAATCACAAAGCTGAAATATATTATTAATAAAAGTCTGGTTTACAAGTACTTATCTTTAATATTAAAAAAAATAGATAAATAAATGCTATATATTGATATAAATCTACTTAAAAATTTTTTTAAATAAGTAATTAATCACTGAATTAAACTGACAATTTTTTATTAATTAGTAATATTCTGAGTATAATATAATTTGTAAGAGTATAACTAGTTATATATACAACTTTAGTCATTATTTATTTAAGAGTTTTACCTTAACATTATCTACTATTTGCTATATCTAACTTTTACTTGCAGGTGTTCTATTTAAACTCTCTAGCTTATCTAATTAATACATGTATACTTCTAACTAGTTTATCTTAAAGGTAAATGATTCTGTTGCTACTTTTTATTAAGAACTATTTAGGTTTAATTTTTTTTTTTTATATTGGTACTTAGGCTATAGTAATACTTATTATCTGATGATAAAATGCAAGACTTTTTTTTGTTAATTTATCTACTTACTCTATAGATCTCAACAGGTTTATGTTCTTGTAAAGTTTACCTAAACCTTAGTATTATTTTACAGTATATTCCTAATATTTTAGAATGGTCTTGATTCTGTTTTTAAACTTTTAATTCTGATAGTTTGTATAAGATTATAACTTGTTTATCAATATATCAAATTAGCTTGATATTTTTTTTTCTAGTTTTTTAGTTAAAATTTTAACAATCTGGTTAATAATACCTCTTACTTGGAGATTTTTACCTATTTAACTTTTTTACATTGATATCAGTTTTTTAGTTATAGTCTTTACAATAGTATTATCAGAGATTTGTATTATCTTTTTGCTTAGGTTTTCTCAAATAGGCTTCTTGTTTTTTAATTTATATAGTTACAAAAACTTATTTTGAATTTGCACTGCCTGATGTTGGTTTGTATTTTTTTGTATAACTAGTTATACAAATGTTACATAACCTGCCAGTCATGCTAATATAATTATTATTACAAATATTATAATCTAATTGTTAGAAACAATTGCTATAATATAGATAGAAATTTATATTTTTACTGTTAGTAGGTTTTGAACTCTCAATCTGCTGTTTGGAAAGATAACAACTTGTTCACTTTACTAAGTTACTACACCTTTGCTTAAAAATTTTAGTGATGTAGTTATGAGTTTTGCATGCTTATTTTTTAAACTTAAGAATTTTGATAACAGAATAATAGCAATGTTTTATTTTAATAATTATTATATTTTAGAATAACATTTAAATTAAGTAGTATTATAATTTATACTATAAATTGTTATTTACAATATTACTTATAAAGATTACATTTATAATAAATTTTATAAAGGATGAAATTTTTGTTCAAATATTTGTAATTTATAAAAAAAAAAGCATTATTAATAAAAAAATAAGCAAAGGACAGACTTTTGATATATCTACAAATATAAGACCAGTTATAATTTTCTTATTTCAAGATTTTTGCAATATGCATTAGTGATAAACTCTATAATTTTGTGTAAAAGCAAATTTTTTAATTTTTCTTTTCAAGCATAATATATTTAATAAGTTAGAATAGTGTTACTTGGTTTGGTTAATATAAATATGTAGTGTTAGACTTATGTAATTAATTGTTTAATTATAATTATTATTAGTAGCAATTTAATTTGTTTGGGTATAAAAATTCATTAATTTTGCATTTGAACTAAAAAACAAAACAGAACATAAAAATATATTTTTTTGATTTAATATATTTGTTCACATTACAATAATATATATTATAATGTTTGATACAAAATAATTTTATTTCAAATAGATAAATTGTTATTAAAGTTAATATACAATATTTTATTAAAAGTCAGCTATTGTGTTTTAAATCAAATTAATTTCTGGCTTAAACTTGAATTAAGATCAGTTAAACCAGAAGTCAGATTAGGCATTTCTAAAATTTAGTAAAGTAAGATTTGAAAGATTTTATATTATTTTTCTCAGTTTTAGCTAATAATTCCAAATTTTTTGTGAATGCAACTGTCACAGCAAATCAACTACCAGAAACATTGTAGTAAATTAGGTTTTAAATAATGGTTTCAATAATGTAAAGATTGCAATATTATCAAATGTTATAATTAAAAAATATTATAATATTTCTCACTAACTCCAAAGCAGGGTGCCAATGAGTTGAACATCGCAAGACAAATTTTGTAATTTATTTCACATGCATATAACTTGCATAAAGTGGATTGATTTCATATAAGATGACGAAATTAAAAGTGTTAATGTTCTGAGTTATTTCACAATTTATATTAATTCCAACAGACCTAGGTCATTCTTAAAAACTTCACTGATTCAGAAATGACCCGGGTCAAATTTTAATGTAACACTACGAAATTTAAGGGTCGGAGTGTAACTAATTATTGTGTGACAAATAAGTATCAACTACTTATTTATATAAAATAAATAATCAATGCTTATTTGTCACGCCCACGACAGTGCAACACTACGTAATTTAATATCAGGGAGTAACAAATAAGCACTAGCTAATTTATTTATATAAATAAATTAGATAGTGAATATTTGTAGCATAGATGATTGTCACACCGCAGGAAGGGTCGAAAAGTTTAGAACCCAAAATTACTACGTATGTCAAATTAATTAATGCAAATAACTAAAAAAATAAATAAATAAAACTTTGGAAGGTTAAACTTTATCGATAAATACAACTTTTTTGCTTATTAATTTTTAAAAATAGGACGTTACAACTTTTTACGCGTGAAACCTTTGATCGTATATTAAAAGCTTTTATTTGTAGAAGGAAAAGCAATCGCTGTCTAATGGATCAAAATAAATATAATCAATGTTTAACTGTACTTAAAAATCCAAACAACTTACAGAACCCAAAATTTAAATATTGGGTAACATAATTTTAAAATTATTTACTTTGGTGTAACTATACGATTAAATGACCTGGGGATGCAAGTTTGTCCAATCGAAAACTTGTAAATCATTGTAAGTTTTCCTTAAATTTACATTATGCGAAATTTTTTATACGTTTTAATGTGCTTTTTTTTTCTAATTTTATTAAAAAATTTTTATTTTTTTCATATGAAAGAATTATATAATTTATCGCTTGGGCATACAATTTTAAATTTTTAAATTTTCACCGATTGAGAAATGACCTAGATCATTTCAGAATTCAAAAATTACTAGGTCAATTCAGAATCGACCTAAATGCTGGATGACTCAGAACATTTATACGTAAATTTACTTGCTAATGATAATATATTTAATTTAACGTCTTTATGGATTATTTTCTTCTACCAATAACGATAAGAATTAAACCATATTAAATTCGAAAAATTAACACTTAGTTTATTAACAACGGTAAATAATTGTCTTTTCATAACCATTTTTTAAATTGAATTTAATTATCTGAACACTTACAAATAAACTTTTAATGAATTAAAATAAAAACTATACTTATTAGTCATTGCTTTCAAATTTCTGTTGACAGTTAATTGAAATTAACTCACGTACGTATGTACATAACATTAGAATTGTATTGCGAAAAAAGTAGTTATATTTATTTTATTTTATTTTATTTTATATGCTATACTACACTTTTCAAATATAAAATATACCATTCAATAAAAATATAAGTAAATATATAAGCTAGTATAAAAATTTTTTAGAAAATAGAGTCTAGCATAAGAACAATCCTAATTAATAATGTAAAGATCAATCTTATGTGCCGTGGTTTTGTTTATATTAGACATTCAATTCTTTGAAAACTTTAAAACTTTTGTTTTTTTTTACTTTTATGGGTTTCGAAAACAACATGAAAGCCATCATTTGAACGATCAATTTCATATCTTAATTTTTTTCAAATATTTACATAGTTATTAACAATATTTTCAGAGGTTTGAAGAGAAAAGTATTCGATGCAATCTCATAAAAAATTTTACTGTAATAAAATTCTTTAAAAAAAATAATTTTTTATTATTATCAAAATACTTGAATTTGATGTTCGTACATATATTTTATATAATCAGTTTAAATTCACTTTATTTCGACATAAATTATCGATATAGTGATAATGTCGCATCTGAAGTAGCGATTTATCTAAAGTAGCGCCTGACTAAAATTAAGCACCTGAAATTAGATCTTCATGCATGCATTAGATTATAATTTTAGCCAGGGCGCTACTTTAGATCAATTATATCTTACATATCGATAGTATATATGCAAGTGTTACATTAGAAAGTTAGAAATTTCTGTACATTGAGACTAGTCATTGGCGGCTCGATCTGCATTATGCATGCAGCAACTAGAAATTTCTACTAGAAAATAAACATTCGTTATGGAAAGACATGGCTAAAGGAATAAAAATCATAAATAACTCCAAACAAATGCAAACTTAATCATTGTTTATAACGACTCTTTAGTGCTGTTCCTTATTACAATCTAATTAGCTTGATTTTTAACCTCATTCCATAGCTCGCGCTCTCTTTATTACTGTATAAAAAGATTCATCCGTAAATATATGTGAATTAGTAAATTGTCTTGCATAGTCATTTCGCTTTCTAGATATAAAAGTTAGACCACATAAAATAAGGTTTAACATGGTGTACGGTAAATGCACCGGCTGTAATAGAAAAAAAGGACTTTTAGATGAGGTTAAATTATGTTCCGGTTGCTATAATACACAATTCCAGAATGTTAGTAGCGGAAATCAAGATATTGACAATTTAATTAATGCAACACATAATAATCAGCCTAAATTTAGATTGGAGTGGATCCCATTTGATGATTTTACAAATATAGACCAAATTGGAAATGGTGGTTTTAGTGAAATCTATATGGCCACATGGACAAAAGGATCAATAAAAAGTTGGAGCAGGATAGAAAAAAGATACAATCGAAATAAAAATCAAACCGTTGCATTAAAAGTTCTTAAGGATTCCAAAAATATTAATTCAGCATTCCTAAAAGAGGTAATAATAGATAAGCTTTATCTTAACTATTGATATATTACTCTAAACATTTGTCTTTTTTTTTGCAGTTACAAAATATTGTTAAAAGCCAACCTAATTCCAACCTTCGCCACATTATTCAATGTTATGGAGTATCGCAATTTCCAAAAAGAAATGATTATATTTTTGTTATGTCTTATATGTCTAATGGAAGTCTAAATCATTATTTATCTAATAAATTTAAGGTTATTACTTGGGAAATGAAACGAAGATTTCTTAAGTATATTGTTACAGGCATTAAATGGATTCATAAAAATAAAATTGTACACCGCGATATACACGATGGAAATATATTAATAGACTATAGCCCTTTAATTGCAGATTTGGGGTTTAGTCGTCCAGCAAAAGATGATTTGAAAAGTTCAGAACCTAAAATATATGGAATTATGCCATATATTGCACCTGAAGTGTTTAATAAAAAGCAATATTCATTTAGTTCAGATATTTACAGTTTAGGAATGATTATGTGGGAACTTACAAGTGGATGTCGCCCTTTCTATGATCGGGCATATAACACTCATCTTGTGCTTGATATATGTAATGAGTTACGACCAAATATCACTGAAGATACACCACAATGTTGGGCTATTTTGATGCAAAAATGTTGGCATTCAGATCCCTTAAAAAGGCCAACTATTGATGAATTATATGATGAAGTATATTCTAGATATTGGGGTCCAGACAAAATTTTTATAGAAGCTGAAGAAAAACGACAAGAATTACTTAATGCTGGGAAATTCATTGCTAACTATATGCATCCTCATTCTAAAACTCACAGCCAATTATTAAATCCTACTATAGACTCCATGCCTTTAGATTTACTTCAAGGTTCTAAATATTTTATATTACGCCCTATAGATTCTTTTCAAAGCATTAGCAGCGATTCATTTAATATTATGTAAGTAATTAGGTTTTTTTTTACAAATTAGAAATTTGAAATAATAAATTAATGTTTCTAACTTAAATGGATACTCAGTTCTGAGCACTTTAAAAACGTTAACTGTCTAAATTCAACGATAAGCATACCACCTTCAAAAAAACATTTTATCGAATTTTTACCAGATGAAAATAATTATAGTAAGTTTTAATTTAATATTTGTTTTATCGATCACTGGACTTATTTTACGATATAATATTTACAAGATGAAATAAAACGAAGAAAACTATCTTATAATGGTATACTATATAATATTAATTATATTATCTAACATCTTTAACTCGAATTTTCGCTTAAATACACTAAAATAATAAATTTATATACGAATTCATATTATTCAATTAAACAGATTTACAGCCATATACCTTATCATTAAATGATGCCATTTATCAAATTACCAACCTGAGCAATTTGAATTTAAATCATGATAAACTATGTTATGAGGCAGGAAACACTCTATCTGAAGCTCTACGCGCAAACCACACTTTAAAGCGCTTGGATTTAAGTTCAAAAAATCTATGCAATGGGGCAGGGCAAGGATTAGCTGAAGCATTACGCAATAACAAAACACTAACAAATTTAAATTTAGAAAACAACTATCTTGGTGACGATGCAGTAATGGCTCTAGCTAAGGCTATGTATAAGAACACCACTCTTATGTGTTTAAATTTAAGTAATAATCGATTTGACAGTAAAGCTGTAAAAACACTGGCTAAAGCTTTATGCAAAAATACCACCTTAACTAATTTAGATTTACATAAAAATAGAATAGGTGGTTCAGGAGGAAGAGAACTGGCTGAAGCTTTATGTAAAAATGCCACCTTAACTAACTTAAATCTAGAAAAAAATAAAATAGATGAATCAGGAGGAAAAGCACTGGCTGAAGCTTTATGCAAAAATACCAGTTTAACTAATTTAAATTTGAGTAATAATAATCTTGGTGAATCAGGAGGAATATCACTGGCTGAAGCTTTATGCAAAAATACCACCTTAACGAATTTAAATTTATATTATAACAACTTAGGTGAATCAGGAGGAAAAGCACTGGCTGAAGCTTTATACAAAAATATTACCTTAACTAATTTAAATTTAACATGGAATAATCTTGGTAAATCAGGAGGAAAAGCATTGGCTGAAGCTTTATGCAAAAATACCACCTTAACGAATTTAAATTTATATGGTAATGGAATAGGTGAATCAGGAGGAAAAGCACTGGCTGAAGCTTTATGCAAAAATACCACCTTAACGAATTTAAATTTATATGATAATAGAATAGGTGAATTAGGAGGAAAAGCACTGGCTGAAGCTTTATGCAAAAATACCACCTTAACGAATTTAAATTTATATGATAATAGGATAGGTGAATCAGGAGGGAAAGCACTGGCTGAAGCTTTATGCAAAAATACCGCCTTAACGAATTTAAATTTATATGGTAATGGAATAGGTGAATCAGGAGGAAAAGCACTGGCTGAAGCTTTATGCAAAAATACCACCTTAACGAATTTAAATTTATATGATAATAGAATAGGTGAATCAGGAGGAAAAGCACTGGCTGAAGCTTTATGCAAAAATACTACCTTAACTAATTTGGATTTAAGTAATAATAATCTTGGTGAATCAGGAGGAAAATCACTGGCTGAAGCTTTATGCAAAAATACCACCTTAACGAATTTAAATTTATATTATAACAACTTAGGTGAATTAGGAGGAAAAGCACTGGCTAAAGCTTTATGCAAAAATACCACCTTAATTAATTTAAATTTAACATGGAATAATCTTGGTGAATCAGGAGGAAAAGCACTGGCTGAAGCTTTATGCAAAAATACCACCTTAACTGACTTAAATCTAGAAAATAATAAAATAGGTAAATCAGGAGGAAAAGTACTGGCTGAAGCTTTATGCAAAAATACCACCTTAACTAATTTAGATTTAAGTAATAATAATCTTGGTGAATCAGGAGGAAAATCACTGGCTGAAGCTTTATGCAAAAATACTACCTTAACGAATTTAAATTTGTATTACAACAACTTAAGTGAATCAGGAGAAAAAGCACTGACTGAAGCTTTATGCAAAAATACCACCTTAACTAAGATATAATTAAATAGGTAAATTAGGAGTAAAGGCACTAGACGAAACAAAAACAATTAAATATAATCGGTTAGTGCTACTAGAATAACAGATTGTGCACAAATCTGTATTAAAAAGTAATAAAAATAAATCCACTCATATTTTGTTGAAGCAGGAATTGGTAATACTGTAATTGAACTAATAATCTAATGAACACACATTTTTATTACATATACTCTGTTCACTTTTACTTCACGCTAACCAATTTGGCTAGTTAATTCAATTACCAATTATATAATTGGAATTTGTTAATCAAATCAATGGAATGAATAATGTACTAGCTTTTGCTTTAACGTTGCTTCTTTAACGGATACATGTCCGTTAGACATGATCTGATTCTGGATGCTTAACCTATAGATAAATGTAAAATTACGTAGTATAGTATTTATAGGCTCTAGTAAATTATAAAAGACTAAAGCTCAGTTTTTTGATGTACTTAAATATCAATTTTAGTTTGAAACTTGTTTGCTATTTTAATTTCAATCTAAGTTAAATAATGTATATGTAATAATTATAAAAAAAGAACCATTCTTCGTGCATTTCGCGCTGAATTAAACAATTGATAGAGTATTCATGCACTGTGTTTTATACAAGCTTTTTATGCTAAGACGTCAAAACCAAAAATCTAGCATTTAGCTCGATTCTTCGGATTTTTTAAGGATTAAGTTCGATAAGTTATAATTTAAAAACCGATGCCTATTTTCTTCACGAACAAAGAATCGCCCAAAAATCAGTTCCTGTTTTAAAACAGAATTATAATTTTTATGTTTTTATTTTGTATCGGTATATGACAATCAAATTTCGTAATGTTTACTTAACAAATAATGTATGTGACGTATATACAAAGTATTGTTCGTCGCTCAAGTGTAGCATAAATAAAAACCAAAAATGAAACCGAGGTTTTTTGTTTAGTTAGAATTGGGTTAGGTAGTGTTAGGATGGAAAAAGAGAGGTTTATAGTAAAATTTTGTGAGAAATTTTTGTTATAACGCAAAAGATAGTTTCATGTGAAATTTTGACTTTTGACAAAACGAACGTTTGTTTTGAATTTTCTTGATCGTGCTATGTTACACCTGATCTAATGATGATGTAACTTTGCCGTAATGTGCGCTAACTATATTAAATAAGGTAACTGCGCGACGCAGTCGCGCTAGAAACCAGTTAACAAATAGTCCAAGTAACATACAAGCGAGAACTGATCTAGCATCTCATTAATATATTGATATATATTATTGGCAATTGACTCGCATTAGCTAGTCAAACAAAGGTTTACAAGGAATCATGTAATAAATATCTGGTTATCTGGTTACCCGAAAATTAATTTTCTCTCGTCTTTGACGATCAACGATTATCATTCCATCAACCAAATAAAAAATCCTATGAAAAAAAATAAAAAACACCAAATTTCAGGTAAATACGAAAATAATTTGCACCAGATTACCAATTTTTGCGTCTAAAATTCTTGCTTATACTGTCATTAGTTATCGCAACTACGACATCGCTTACTTTTGCATTTTTTTGTATTCAAATTATACCCTAATTACATAACCAAATGTATGCGTATATCCGTAATCTACATATGGGATGAATTCATGTGTGGAAAATAACCAAAATTTGATGAATAAATCATGCCAAATTAAACTTAAGATTTTGTGGACAAATCTCACTTCAAACAGCATACAGTATAATCTATATACCCATTACATTCGTTCCTGGTATATAAACCTTTCAAATTTCAAGCTCAAGGTTGAATAGAATCAGCTTGAGAAAAATCCAACCAAATAAATATAATATTAGTCTAAATGGGTTTAACATAACATGTTTTTAATAAATTATCTAAAATATTAAATATATTAAATTTGATTTGAAATCGATTTTTTGGCTAATAAGTTTGTTAGTATATAATTCGTAATTTTATTAGCGTTTAAGAGTTTCTTTATAATTTTATCAGCATCTAAGAATTGCGTTTTAATTTAATTAGCATTTGAACTAATTATCTTATTAAGCCAACCATCTATTGTATTATAAACATTCTTAGCATTAGGCTGTTCTTCTGGAACAGAATTCATACATTTCTTTGCAAATTTCACATAACATTAGGTGTTCCGAATGCAAATTTAGAATGTAATACTTTATAAATATCAGCTCCAAGCTTAGCATCAAATTTGCGTCCATCAAAAGGTCTTCAACCAGTTGCTATTTCTGACATAATAACACCAAATCCATAGATATATGTTGCTTGTGTAAAGTGTTGTTCGCCTGATAAAACTTCAGGGGTAACATAAGGCATAACTCCCTTCTGAATCGCATTCATTATTCTTTCTAGATAATCCTAGATCTGCGATATAAGGTTGTGCACTTTCATTAATACTTTTGTCTTGCAAAATGTTGCCACTATGAAAATCGGTATGAATATACTTTGAAATATGAATATTCCACAACTCATCTGAGTATTTGTAATTTAGACGGCCATGTAAGTTTACTAAAATTTTTTGTTAAAATATTTACGAAGACTTCCATTATCAGCATACTGAAATACCATTGAGTATTCATTTGTTTCTGTATTTTGAGTTATTCCATATATTGCGAGCTTAGTTCTATAATTTTGTAATTTAAATATCATAGAATTTTTCAACTTAAGGGTTAAACAATGAATTAGTTAAATAAACCAATTATTAATATTCAATAATTATAAAAGCAATAATTAATTATTAACTTACTTACTTTTAAAAAATCAAAATTATTTTCCTTAGAACTTGCAAACGTCTTGAGTGCAACGGTGTTCGATAGTTCATGTTATCTTTTGTTCTTACCACCAATCTTTCATACGTTATCCAGCCAGGTTGCTGAATACACAGACCCAAATCCTCCTTTATCGATTTCTTTAACACCATATAATTTATCAAATGGAATCCATTCGATCGTATCTTCATACGCATGAGCTCTAAGTTGGAATTCTTTCATACAATCATCAATGTTCTTTATTTCTACTTGTTCACCTTGTTGCTCTGTCAGGGTCGCATGATAGACACCATGCTGGCTTCGTGTTATATTCATTACAAGATTCGCATTTTCCAAATTTAGAGTCACTTTACAATCACAATATATAATAATAAATAATATTTTATTTCATCTGCCATGCTATCATAAACTTTATATCGAATATAAATAATTTTTATTCTTACCAACTAAATTAATGGGAATGAAATTTGAAGGGTATTACATAACAGTAATGGTAAATAAGTGCTTATGTTCTTGATTTGTGAGCTTGCTTTGCTGTTTTTAATTACAATGATTAATAAATGTTCTTTATACTCACTCACCGAATGAATGAGTAATGCGAATTAAATGATTTGAGGGGTATTACATAATAAGGTAGCTGCACAATGTATTCGCGCTAGAAACCGGGAACGAATGCAAATACAGTAGTTAGCAAATAGTCCAAGTAACTTACAAACGAGAACTGATCTAGCATCTCATTAATCTATTGTGAAGTGTTTGATATACACTACCAGGCAGTTGACTCGCATTAGACAATCAAACAGAAGTTTACAAGACATCATGTAATAAATATCAGGTTATCTGGTTACTCGAAAAATTAAATTTCTCTCGTCTTTGACGATCATCAACTCTAATAAAAAATCCTGTGAAAAAAAATGAAAAATGTTAAATATCAGGTAAATAGACAAATTAATCTGTATGGGTTTACCAATTTTTGGATCTAAAAATTCTTGCTTTTACTATCGTTAGTTATCGAAACTATGACATCGCATTTTTTTGTATTCAAATTATATTCCGTAATTACATATCCGAATATCCGTTAATCTATACGCGTGACGAATTCATGTGTGAAAAATAAGCAAAATTTGATGAATAAGTCACGTGGACTAATAGACCTTAAGATTTGGCGGACGGATCCCATTTCGTATAAGCCATACACTTCGTGATTTCATCACTCCGTTCCTGGTATTGATAAATTACGATAAATTATAATGTATTATTTATTATTTATTGATTAAAATTAAATAATTTTGGTTGGTACTATCCATACTAATAAGAAATGTACAATTCAAAATGATTTTTGTACCTACCATTTGATTTGTCCTAAAGAACAGGATCGTGACAGTGATAATAACCCTCTGCGTTATAATATTTATATTTTGCCTCAAATCAAAGCTCAATCCGGATAATTCTAAACCTAACGCAACATTTTAATTTGATACACAACATAAATTTATAAGTTAAATTAAATAATTATAAAATATGAACCCGTAACCACTATAGTCTTCGTATGGGTCGATTTTTTTTGATACACTTTTCAAAACGATTTAATTCTGGTCAAATTTGTTGATCATTTTGCCCTTGACTTATCAGTTTAAAACTAATAAGCCAAGAGCCAAATGATCAACAAATTTGACCAGAATTAGATCGTTTTGAAAAGTGTATAAAAATATGAGTGAAAATCAGATTTCGGGCTTTAAAGTTTTTATTTATTATTTACCGGACTCATCACTAACCGATTATACATTAAATTTACTTATGTATCATATGTCCAGATCAGGATTGAGTCCGATAAATAATTAAATCAGCTTGAAAGCCCGAAGGCTGGTTTTTTTCTCGTGTCATTCGTAATCTTTTGATTCTGCAATTCAAATTGTAACCAATGTGTTTTAAGTTTAATTAAAAGGAATAAATACAGCTATATAAAAAAAAAAGAATTTAAAACACGAAATACGAAAAGACATAAAAATCTTTTGACAATTTCAAATATCAAATAGTACAGTAGTAGTAATTATCATATCATGCTTTATGTGAAACGTTTGATTTAAAAACAACTTTGATGATAAAAGGCTTTTTCTTTTGATATATTAAAAATGATGTGAAGGATGATAGAATTTTATTAATCAAAAATAAGCATCATCCGATTTCTACTTTTGGAACGATATGAAAGAATTCAATTTAGACTACATGATTAACGGAATCCTTAAAATGCCTATTCCTCGATTCCTCTCCTTTGGATTCCACCCACTTATTTATTTTATTGACAATCCTCCTTTGGAGTCCACCCTCTTATTTATTTTACTGACAATCCCTAACTGGTAACGAAAAGAGAAGGTTGGTTAATAAGAGAAGTTAATATGTCAAATACGAATGATAAATTTATATCAAATATCATTTTTAAATTTTGGAAAGATGAATAAAGCTGTAAAACGTCGTCGAAAATCCGAGAAGACTGAAGAGAATATTAGGAGTGAAGAGATAGATAGTGGTGTATCTATGAATGTTCAAACTTCTATAATGTCGGATTTAATTGGTGATGTTGATACAGGAAATTCAGAAACAAAAAAGAAAGTCAATAAGTCTGGTAATTTTCTTCTAACAAAAAAGTCATTAAAAAAATTATAATTTTCTAATTCATAACTATTCAAATAGCATGGACCACAAATCAAAGAGTTCAATTATTTGAATCAATTATTAAACGACTACCAGCACCTTTAGATTGGAAAGAGATTGCTGAAGATGTTGACGGAAAATCTTCTACACAATGTTATGATCAATGGCGCAAAAGAATGTTATCAGATTTAAAGAAGTCTGTTGCTTCTGAGTGAAATAGTAGATATATGAAATTGTATTTTTTAATTCTTTTTATAATTATATCCACGGAATCGTGTGATCAAATTTTTACATTTATTAAGAAAAATAAAGATCAAAAAATTTTATTATCACGAATTTTTTTTTAACACATTATCATTACGCAAACAAGTATGTAATAAAAATTCTGCAACTGTAAAATTATGTTTTCAAGATCCTATCAAGTTATTTGCTGAAAGGATTTGATAAACGCACTTAAAGATTTTAAAATTATTATGTGTGCCTTTATGACTTTCACGATTACTACGAACGTTAAACGTGTACATTTTTCATAGAATTTATTCATGTGTTACGAATACTATTTGTAAGATTGCTAAATAACAAATATTTCCTTTATAATAAAGAATTTCTATGTTTAACGTCAAAAGATTAAGTACATGCATTCTGAATTTATAGTCTAAATCTTTTAAAAATATAGACTATATCGCAAGAAATAATAAGCGAAAAAAGCTAAATTTTGTGATTTATATTGTTTTTCACTACTATTCAGCCATTTTTTCTATAGCTTCAGTCTCTTCTGCTTCTTCCATGGCTTCTATCTCTCCTGCTTCCACCGCATCCCCTAATTCCTCTGTTTCTCCCACCATTTCTTTTTCCGTAGCACTTAGAGCTAGTCCAAGATTAATATTAAGTGAATAGTTATTACGATAAAAAAACCCAATTATCTTATTAATGTAAATAATTCTCACCTGACTTACGCATTTCGTCTAATTTTCTACCAAGTTCACTTATTTTTTTGTCATCAAATATCTTTCGGCAAAATTTGAAAATTTCTTTTTCTTCCACTTCAGCATGCTCAATAAAATCCTAATTTTTTATCTGGAGATTAATATATATATGTAACTAATAATAAGAATAAAAAAAAGTCCACAAACCGTCATCATTTGATTTAAGAAATTCTTAAACATCTGTGAATCAACCCCCTCGTCCTCAAGCAAAGTAACCAACTCATACAACGAAGATCTAACATTTTCATGATCTGACAAGCTTTGCTTAACATAATCAATTCCTGTCTCCTTTCCATAATCTTTTAAGGCTGGGTAGAAAACTAGTGTCTCGATCTTATCATGAATTCCTACACCTTTCAATATTTCTTTGGCAATTCGTTCTCGATCATTGGTAGAATTTGCGGTATTAAATTTTTGGTGAAGTGATTTTAATTCGTCGTGATCACGTTTCAAAGAATTTAGGATGTCCGGCGATTGACCTTCGAGTCCTAATTCGAATATTGATTTATCCGATACAGGCATTTTTTATGTTTCTCGCTTGGAAAAAGTAAATAATCAAAGATTAATCGAATTTTAAAAATGGTTACCAAAGGTAAAGAAGTTTTTTTTACGCTTTGACAAATACTATCATTTAAATATTAAATATTCGTACACTTTATTAGTTTGAGTATGATCTCATTTTATTATGAAAAAATGTTGTAATAATTTTTAAATACGATGCTTTATGACGCAAAATGAAATCATTAATAAATTTGTAAAAGGTAAAAGATTATATAAAGCTATAAAAAAAACAAAAAAAGAACACTTTTACATAGCACAAGATTATGAAGACACTAATTGTATATGCGATAAAGTTAAAATATATGAACGTATTCCTTACATATTTCGTGCGTCAGATTCAGTTGCATCGGATCAAAATTCGATTCTGAAATGCATCAAACCAATTTATCATTTATGCGTCATTTTTAACATGTGCATAAATAAATGTAATAATAATGACTGAATTAAATAATTATTAAGTATTTATTTTATTTACGCAAGCAAAAAATGTGGGAATCAATAAAAAAAACCCCCCGTTAGTTAATCCTATGAATACTACATACGACTAAAATGTTTATCAAAGAAGCAATGTTAAGTTGAATGCCAGTAGACATAAGTAAAATAGTAAATACTACATATGATTTCCACTTTTTCCTATTGACTAAAAGACGTCCATCAAAGCGACGTTAAAGCAAAATAAGAACTGTAAAATCAACAAATGTAGTTGCAAAAGATTTTCCGTCTGTGTAAATATATAAAATATTATCAATTCTAGTTTGACTCAGATCTATTATTTTAACCCTAAGCATATTAAACTTTAGTCTAACATAATTTGGTTTTCAATTCACACCAAATTCTAATTTGACACATAACGGGTATGTGAAAAATAATTCAATATTGCTGTCCTTTTATTATTATAAGTTGGTTTATTATTATGAATTATAAACCAATGCCAAGTTTATAATTAAACTCTTGTAGGCAAATTTATCATTAGTGATTTGTAATTGATCTATCGAACTATATTTTTACGGGCTGCTGGTCTGCACGAAGCAATACCAACCTACTACGTCTATAGCAAAATTATCAACTGGGCATTTTTATTTAATGAACGGGCTATGACTTCATTAGCGTTAGTAAAATTTTGAGTGATCTTAGGCAAAATTTGTTAATTTCGGTTCAGTCAACTATTATTCTGTTGAGTCAACTATTATTCTGTTGAATTACAACAGTGTAATGATGAACAGAAATTCGTCTGGTTGGCTAATGTAAATCAATTGTTCGGGTAACTTATACTTTCTATTCATTCGTACGCTGGCTATTTATGCAGCTATATTTTTTTTCACTCAATTGTTACTTCTCATACTTCTTAACAAATGAAAAACAATTCATAAATTTAAGGGGTTTCAAAATTAAGTTTTTTGAAAATAATTTGGAGCTTAAAGATTTTACTTTTAGTTTTAAAATTCCGACTCAATGAATCAAAAATAATCTAGTTTTTTTTTTTTTTTTTTTGATAAATATCTACCGATAAATGATTATGTAAATGTCTATACGTTAAAAAAAATAAGATATATGTATCACATATCTGAAGTAAATATGTCGAATCATCAATTATGAAAACCCTTTTTATGGAGCTTTCTACCAACTCAAATTGCAAAAACAAAAATTTATAACTTTCATAGTTTTAGATCTTTAGCAACTTTGGATATCTTTAATAGACACACTTCATAGGCTAGTTATAAAATAGATATACAATAAGTTATATTATTTAGTAAAACAAATCCCTAAAAGCAAGAATGTTAATGGACACATTTTGACAAGATCTTGAACATGTTATACAAAAAGAAACGTTAATTTAATCACGCCAAATTTAATTGACATATTGATACAGTTCATTAAATAAAAATTTTTAGCACCAAGTTTTATATACGTGATTTTATAATAATTTTAAACTTTATAAAATGTAAACATGATGATTATCCTTGGATTCAGACGTTGGAGAGGCCTAATTTTTCCCCCAACTTCCGATTGGATCTATAAAAATAACATTACTGATTAGACAAGAAATATATTACGCAACTTTTTGCTCGGTTTTATTTTGGTTTTTATTAATGCTACACTTAGCGACAAACAATACTTTGTAAATACATGCGATGTAAAAGCACATCGTAGGGTGCGACAAATACATTATTCGCATTACGAAATTTGATTGACATATAATGATACAAAATCAAAATATAGAAATTATAATTCTGTTTTAAAGCAAGGACTGATTTTTGAGCGTTGCTTGATTCGTGAAGGAAAATAGGCATCGGCTTTTAAATTATAACTTATCGAATTTGATCCTTAAAAAATCCGAAGAATCGAGTCTATTAAATAAAAGACTAATGCTCGTTTTTTTTGATGTACTTATATAAATATCAATTTTAGTTCGAAACTACTATTTTAATTTCAATCTAGTTGAGTAATGTATATAATAATAATCAAATAAGAACCGTTCTTCGTGCATTTCGTGCTGAATTAACCAATTAATAGAGTCTACATGCTAAGGCGTCAAAACCAAAATCTAAGAAATGAACCATGAATACTATACTACATACTTTTACTTTTCTCTATCGATTAAACATCCGGAATCAGATCATGTCTAACGGACATGTATCCGTTATTAAAGCAGAAAATTAGTACATTTCACTTCATTGATTTGATTAGAAAAATTCTAATTATATAATTCCTGCTTCAAACTAGAATTCGATTTTAAACTTAATTATTAAAATCTAATATGTGTCTAAAAACCCAAAGTGCTTAAGATTTTATTTTTCTTTAGCATTACTTATAGAAACAATTAATTTTAGTTTAATGCAACTAGGTTTCAAATAAATGTACCACACACAATGTATATATAAGTTGAAACTTTATTTTCCACGCATAACACAACATATCAGAATAATAAGATTATATATATCCTTAGTACATCTTTGATTTTTGTAATGCCTGAATACATTAGCCAGCACTTTACAGAGTTGGAAATGTACGCTTAATTATAGAGATGGGTTTCATGCGTGCGCATGATTGGGTATTCATGCGCATTTTATCCCATCAGAATTTTATATATAAAAATTTTAAGTGTTACCGGAGGAAAGCCTGATATCAGGTTTTTAATTATATTTTGTACGGAATATAGTTTCTAATGTGAGGCCCGATAACGTGACGTAAATACTCTGCAGGGACCCGGAAAAATATTAATCTATTTAGATCAATATAAATCAATATTTTTGGGTCAAATCATTGGTAAATCGATAATTTTACA